ACAGATTTGATGGACTTGTACAGTACTCCCTCCGTGTCACTATAAGTGCGCGACTCAGAAAAATATAGTATACCTCCTCGTATAAATATACAAAACACTCCAAGATCCTATAATGATCATGCATTTATAAAGGTGTAACGATACAATTGTCTAATCATGACAATCAAAATGCATGTCTCAGGACCAATCACGCGTCGTTAGGTTGCGCTTTTGACGGTCATACCTGAATGTTTGTCATTCTGAGTGTTTGTTTTATATAAAGTATTTTATTGATGTATTGAAATCATCATAGCGCCTTCATTTCGTTGAATTTCCCGCTCGAAGTTGGAGCAAATCGGGGGTTTTGGCACTGGCTTTCGAATGGTCCAATCAGAGCGACTACTTTTGAGCCCAAGAGGGCGATTTCGATTGTCAAAAATGTCTTGAGAATATAATGAGAAGTCATGTCAACTCTCCTCTAGGTCGCGCACTTATAGTGACACGGAGGGAGTACTGGATTTGCTGGAGTCAGTATCCGGTTATAGTGGCCGGATAACGACATCGGTGCATAAAAATGTACTACGAAGCGAGCAGCCTCCAGGGTCGGTGATGATGGCATAGGTCGAGGTGCAGATGTGACGGCCCTGGCACGGTATGTATGCCGCAGTCAATAACTTATGACTTGTGGTGATGACTCTTGCGGCGTAGGTCAGTTGCGGCCGATAGCGCATTCTCCTGCGGTTGGTGCTGCCGTGGCAAGTTTAGGCGGCAGTCGACCGGCCGCATTCGCCTGTGGTCGATGCTGCCGTGGCAAGTTTAGGCGGCAGCATCGACCACAAGCGAATGCGGCCGGTTGCTTGTTTGCGCCGGTCTGAGGCCGATCCTGCCTTGGTTGGCGGTGTCTGTCTTGCGCCGGTCGAAGTTGCATGGCTTGCCGCGTTGGCGAGAGTCGTGCGGCAGGCGGTAGGAATGTCTTCGCGGCCGGTAGCCGTGTTGTTAATGTTGCAGACAGGGCCCGCGCCATTGACCGCTGCATTCAAAGGTCAATAGCGCGGATCCTATCGAGCTGGCAGATGTCTATTATGTCTGTAATCACCGTACTCCGTTTACTAGTTAACGAGAAACCATAGCATTCCTGGTGATAAGGATACATAACGCTGTACATATGCATGCATGTTGCGCATCATTGCGTGCCATTCCTGGTGATAAGCATACCTCATTGTCGAAATTAACGCGGATTTCCACTCAGCCTGGTCGAATGATAGTGGATTTACTGGCTGGAGTTGGGCTTTGCGGTGCGAATTATCCTGAATTATCAGCCCATTACAATACTGGAGGTTGTTATCCGAAATATTGGTGTGTTGATCGATTTACTGGAATGCGGTGGAGATGCTCTTAGCAAGTCGTTATTATGATCCAAATTCCCAACTTGTCTTCGAGCACATGGACACGCGCGCTTCGAAAGTGGTACTTCAATATCCGGAAATTTAACGAATAAAGACCAATGGCATTTATGGTGCACGTCATCTATATACTACACTGTACCAACTTTTCACAAAAAATTTCTGACTTCTGTTTCATATTCATTACTCAAAATTTCAGCAAATTGAGACGTAGAATCGATAGATCTCAATGTGGTGAAGAAATTCTACGTGTCAGATTTAAATTTGGTGATGAATTGGTCCAGAAATAGATACTACTCTGGTCCACTAAAAGAGTCCGGTTTGCACTTGGAGTGGCGGAATTTTTCTAATTTTGCTTTTCATTGCAATATGATTGGCTTACCAAAACGCGCGAAATTTCCTCTTTGATTGGCTCATTTGAGCGCTTTCCAGATCGTTATGCCTCAAAAGTTACAGCGAAAAAAAAAGTGCTCATTCACGCTACACGATCATAGACCCGCTGATAAGCCAAAATTCAATTTTACACCTCGTGCTCAATACACTTCTTGCTCCCGTCGTCTTCGTCGTCTCGCCTGTACCAATGCCAAGTCCTGCAACCCCCCACCAGCCAAACCACGACAAGTGCAAGCTCTCCGACCTTGAGCGTCGCGCCATCTATGAGACGCTTCTTGGGCGCAGCAACAACGGCCGCATCGCCCATGGAGAGTACACCACGACCGCCGCCACCTCCCAGTGCCATTGGAAGACGTTCGCACGCATCTGGAAGCGTGGACAAGAGTCGCTCCGCAATGGCAGCGTTGTTGCCGTTGTCAACGCACGTTTCAAAGGTAAAACCTCTCGATTTCAATTTTTGTACGTTTTGGTAATAATTTCTACAAATATCGATTTTAACAATTGTAGTATGATAGGGAATTCGGGCCCAAAAGTGCAACGCAGCCCAAGCGACATCAGGGCTGCCGTCAAGGCTGTTCCATTAGTGGCCCGCCAGATTCTACGTTCCGTTGCGGAGCACTCGGGTGTCCCCAAGACCACCCTCGTACGACACATGGCCGAAGAAGACCAACTGAAGAGCAAGTCAAGTTACTCGAAGCCGTTTCTCACAGAAGACAACGAAAGAAGCCGCGTGAAGCATGCAATGTCTTTTCTTTTTCAGTCGTCGAAGAAAATTACTTTTTCCAATATGCACAATTTTGTGCATGTTGATGAAAAGTGGCTTTTTTTAACGACAAGTCCTCCCCTCAAGATATTTGAAGTCGAAACGATTTATCACGAAGGTTATGTTTTTGGCTGCGGTGGCGCGGCCAAGATATGATTTTCACAAAAAGTCTATGTTTGACGGGAAGTTGGGCGTTTGGTCATTTATTGAAAAGGTGCCGGCGAAACGGGGCAGCAAGAATCGTCCAAAAGGCACTATTGTAACTGTACCTCAGACGGTTACTGCTGATGTTTATCGCGACATGATATTGAAAAATGTTGTGCCGGCGATAAAATCTAAATTCCCTTTGGGGGATCAGAGTAAAATAATATACTTGCAGCAAGACAA